GTTTTAATAATCAATCCGAACTGAAATTCGGTAAAGTGGCTGGGTCACAGATTGATCGGTTAAACCGGTTTGACCAAGGGATCGGATTGGTGATGTCAGCATATGCAAATGTTTGAAATCTAGCAAACACATTCTTGAGAAATTACGCATCAATCTCTATAGATATGAAATCCAGTAAACACACTCATGTGATTTGGCCAAATACAAATTGGCGGTCAACTAGTTGGCTGCAACGAGACACCAAATGCAAATCTCACTTATCTTTTGATCCATCCCATAGCAAATATGCCCAAGATCTTGTCGCAATTGAACCATTGACCATAAAAAACACCAATGCGCACGACTGCCAACCTAGGCCAAATAGGCATATTTTCGGCATCAACATCGCCCCTATCACCACGAAAGCACTCCCTTCAGCCTCCTGACCAAAACCCATCTCACCCCCCTATTCGTCTTGCCAATCGTCAACACAGCCCACTATTGTGACTACGTAACTTTTGCCTTTTTCAATCGTTTCTCTCATCGGAAATCACCTCTATCTCCACCTTTCGATTCATTGGCACTTCCTCTCCAAAACCCATAACATCTCCACCATCGTATGCTCACTGATCGTTGCCCTCCTCACTAGGGTTTGCTTCTTTGGGTTTTAAATAGTGGAAATGGGTGATCGGGCCCGACGAAGGCCTCGATTCCCAGTGCGACCGGTTAAACCGGCCGAGCTGGGGCAGGTTTGAAAACACTACTTCTGCAAAACAGATAAGATGCTTACATATTAAACCTAAATGAAGCGAACTATATTTGCAAGTTAAGTACAAAGTTACTGCCCTTTATCTTTTAACAGTTTGCTAATGGGAGCAATTTTAAGTCAAGTCAGATATTTAGTTTCCTAATACAACACAGTTTCCCAATGCAAAGAATCGGAATTTTAGTTTTCTAATATGAGAAAGTATAAACCGAACATTTGCACAAGAGAATATAGAATTTCAGAGATTATGCTTGGCTAGGAATACGTGGGAACTTAAACTTGCCGACAAGTAGTGGAATACATATTTTATTAATGAAACAAGAAGCTTTAATTATTCTTTCCTCCATCAGAATTGTTTGTTTACTAATAAAGATAAGAGTGACGACAAGAACCATTAATGTAGACAGAAGGACCCCCTTAGTTACTATGTAACTTATGAAGGGCAGACGTTATTGGTTTGTAACAAAGGCTTTGCATTTGCATAGCAATCAGAATTTGCTACAAACAAAAAGGAAAAAGATGCCATCTAAATTCGACGGATACGATTCCTTTATATATATAAAACTTGTTTTAATATACAATAAATATTATATGTTATAGCTCCACCAAAACTTGTATATAATTGACAAAAACTTTTTAGATTACAACATGCTTGAAATGCGGAAACAGAATGCTATTCCAAAAGGCACCTTGACTTTTAAGCTATTTTTCTTATTTGTGTAATCTCTTTATCTTGCATATATAGAAATTATGTTTCAATCAATTAAAGATTTATATATTTGAAGGGGTACACTTTATTCAATTATTCTGCCAGCAATTTTACACAACATAGGGCCCCCTTAAAAGCCGATTTTGACTCAAAATACATTGCAGTGCAGAGACTATATTATATAATAAATTTATTTTTATGTGTGCAAGTTTTTCTTCAGAAAATAATATAGATTTCTGGGCCATGCAAAGTTTGGCGGTATTTTAAAGTGTCGCTATGCATATTCTTTAACTTTTATTGATGTTGAATCTTATGGGTGGAAATCCTCGATGACTAGTGTCCACAGGAATGTGATAATACAGTAGGGTTTCCTTAGCTGGATCTCATCATCATTGCTTTCTTATCTCCATCCTAATGCTGCGCATGCAACCAAATTAAACTTGAGGGATGCATTTCTCACTGTGACTTAATATTATGTTTTAACATATTGCTTTTGCTATCTATTTCTATTCAATTTTTTCAATTCCTCTAAGTTTCAACCTTAGATCATTTTCCTCGAAACCTAAAAGACTTTGATTTCTCATAAGATGTCAAGAGAGTCTTAAAATATTAACATCTGTTGATTCTTAGTCAACATCTTTTATAATTGAGACTAAGATGGTATATTTGTTCGTCTTTGAACCCTTGACTTTCATTTTTTTTTTTTTTTTTTTTAAATTGTCACTTATTTGAAAAAACATTCATATCTCATATCTTAAAACTTAATAGTGTTTGGTGGAACAAAACAAAAAAGTCCCAAGTATTTTTTTTTTTCTTTTTCACAAAATAAACAATTTCAGTAAATAAAGTTTTGTGTGAAACACGTCCACTCGGGAGTCGAGGTTTTACCAAAGTAACATCAACAAATAACTTTCAATAGAGCTGTAATTTTAGGTGGGATCGGATAGCTATCAACATTGGAACTTTAATAGGATAAATTATTAGTCGTAGAGTTGAACGCCGACGGAAAGCTTAGCGTGTTAAAGAGGCGGCGCGAGCTCTTAGAGAAAGTTCGGTGAACATGCAGTAAGATTATTGGTCAAGGGATCAATTTTCAAGAGAATTATTCTTTGTAAAAAATAAGAGTGCAGGAAAGAAATTCAACTAATGGTTTTTGGGTTTATATTTCTATAATTTGTATAATCTTAAGATTTAAGGTAAGTGAACTGTGTAATCTTAAAGTGTATACAATCTCCTTTAATAGTGTAAAGAGAACTCAGGGTTGAATTCAACTATATCTCTTCTCAATATAAATATGAGGATATGATCGGACGATTTCTTGTAAGTTTTTCTCGAAAACGAAAGTATAGAAAAGATTCTGAAATTTACCGCATCTGGTTAATTTGTTACTCCACCAATTGGGTAGCTATCTAGTTAATTGATGGATGGTGATGGATACAAAAACCCCAAGGATGGAGTAGGTTTTGTAGTACCGGCTGAACAGTAGATTTTAATCATCACATTCTGGCCAAGTGTACAATCGCAAAGCTACAAAAAAACAAGTATCTCTTTGGACATGTGTAGATTCCAAACTCATCTCAATAATTTACATCTCGTGCGGATGTACTATATATTGCTATTCTCCAAAACACGGAGTACCACAAGATGGCTCATCTAAGGCTTTTCAAGATGTTAAAAAACTTTTCAGGATTCACAACCAAAAAGAAATAATTAAAACATGGCTTTGACTTGTAAATATAATTGAGATAACGCTGTTAGAAACATTACTAGATGCCGCAAAACCAATATTGGCATCATCGTTTTCAGCGTTGATGTCTACCTAATCTGATGCACTGTAAAGTGCGGTGAACACAAGGTTTTCTAGATGATAAGACTCAGAAACATAGAGTCACCAAAATAATTTGAAAATAATGTGTTCATAGTCTGAATGTTGAATTAATATACATTTGAATTAGCAGTTAGACTACTTTGTTTGGGACAATTTCAAGCTGTCGGTTGAAACTAGGCTTATGTAATGTCACTTTATTAAATAAAGCAACTTTACTAGCTTAAAGACTTCAAATTGTTGCTTCCCCTATTTTCAAAAATTAGTTAATTTTACCTTCTTTTTTGACAAAAAAGAAATATATGGTTCTCCCAATAATTTCTTTATAGTCTTACAAGTCCAAAATTCTCAGCTAATATTATTATTAGATCTGGCTATGCCCTCCAAAAGCGTCATTAGTAAACTGCTTACAAGTTGGTTCAATTTTTCTCTTAACTCAATGTGAAACGCTTGGCGAGACATAGATAGGAATGAAAAGAGTTTGGGAGTAGTAGTATTGCAAAAGCAAACTGAGATCCACACAAGATTCGCAAGTTATTAACATAGTGACTTTCTATTTTCCACTTTTTCTTTTGTCACACCTCCTTTTTCTCTTTATGTTTTCTGATTGTATTGTAGCTTTAACAGGCCAATATCTGAGTTAAAGCTTGGAATATAAGCTTGGCATCACGCTAGTTACCTCTGTATGCCCTCATTGCTGAAGGTTCTCCCACTTCCCCTTGTACATTTTTATTCCCTTTACCGCAGCGGCAAGCAAAAGACATATACTTTGCTTGAGAGGAACAACAACCAGATTGACAATTGACACACTCCTGCTCTTTCTAAACTATTTATATATATATAAATAGTATATTATTTTAACGTTTTTGAAAACAGTATTCATATGGGTATTTTTATTAGGGTTTGAAAGAGAGAAATGTGGAAGGTAAAACTTTTATTGGTGCCTAATTTCAAAAGCTATATATTGGGGTTGACCTCTTCATCAGTATAGTAGAATATCGACACAAACACTTTCTCTCTGGGATAAAAAGCCATTTATAATTATGTTGGAGAAAAAGTGATTAACGTATCCAACGGAAGAACAAAATTTATTATTAGAAAAAAAAAAAAAAAAAAAAAATTCTATGAAACTACATCTATGTGTGAAAGGCGTGTTAAGGGTAGTGTAAAAAGTGGACTCCATGTCATGTGACCCAACAAAACAAAGCATCCATCTATTTCTCTCTCTCTCTCTGTCTCTCTCCCCAATCCTACGTATATAATAAGGACCCCATACAAAAAACTCAAGTTAATGCATGCCCAAATTAACTCTCTACCTCATTATCTATTCTATCTCCATCTTCCTTTTATTTCTCTCTATTATAATTCTCCATGTCTCTTCTTCTCTCTCTCTCTTATATACATATGAACAGTTGAGGGGAATGTTGTCTGGTTCGAAATACTTCGAAGAAACCTTATTATCAACAAATATATATGTATGTTCTTTGAATGATTTCGGACCAGGCTTCATTCCCCCCAACTCGGTTTAATTGCTTCCCATTATCCATCACTGTTCGATGCATTATGATCTGCATGTCGTCTTTGGTTAGTTCTTTCCAATCTTCTGCTTGATAATTGTCTAGTTTGTGTTAGTTTTCTCTATCTTCTTCTCTCTCTCTCTTCTTTTTTTTTTTTTTTTTTTTTTTTTTTTTTTTTTTTTTTTTTTTTTTCGACGGTGCAAAAGAAGATGCAGAAAAAGAATGAATAGGAGTGGAAACCAAGGTGAGGGACAACCGAGATTCAAGAGTCCAAAGAAAGAAGCAAGTGGGTATGATTCAATCAACGTTCAACGATTTCGTTTTTATCTTTCTTTCTTGCTTTATTTTTTTATTTTATTTTTTTGGTGTAAATGTTGACGTAAATAGTTTTGTTAAATGTGAGCATCTGGCTGTAAAACTGAGTCTTCGTTTCACCCTTTTGGTTTTGGAATTTGGAAAAAGTTGAGTTTCCCAATAATATAAGTAGTCATAACTTGGGGGCCGGGCGATCGCCATGGCTATAGCTTTAGTTATTTCGTGTATGATAGAGAGATAAATAAAAAGTGATCTTTGAATTTACCTCTTTCTTCTTCATCAGGATCAGGATTCATCATAACATCTTCTTTGTCCAACCCCATTGCCCTACTATATCTACCAGGTGGGGCATACATTAAATCTAAGTGGGTCAACCGTACATGAAAAAATTAGTATAAATCTAGCTTGTGAGTCAGATTTACATGTGAAGCTCATAATTTCAGGTGGGTCATCTCTGCCGGAGGTTATTGTCATATGTTTGGCTCCATGGCTGCTGCTTGATTTTGTTGCTTCTGATAAGGATTAGCGTACATTTTCATCGTATATATATATGAACTTAATAATTAAATCAATGTCGAATATTATGTGTTTATATGTTACTGTTAGTGGTAATTATGTTGTTATATATTGTTGTGATTTGTATGCTGAAAGTAAAGTTGATGAAAAATTGGAACCAAATTACTTGTCATGTGCGGGATTTGATAAGACATGAAAGATAGAAAATGGAGATAAAAGATTAATAGAAAGAGAGGAAAGTAAATAATTGGGAGCCAATTGGACCTAATGCATGTTTCCCATGTTAAGATGAGTACCTTTCCGTGCATCATAGAGCTCTAGTTGTTTACTTTCTAGGGTTTAGGGTCACCAAACTTCGTAACTGAACGTAAAATTTCTTATCTTTGTGCCTCAAACAGAGTTATATAATATAAATTAATAAACATCAAGCTGTTTTGTTATATTATTTACCTAACACTTTTGACATATATAGCAAAGATATGACAAGGAGAAAAAGAGGACACACATGTGACAATTATTTTGGAGAAGTAAGTAAATGTTATGTTATTAATAAAATCGAATTATTTAATAGATTATTTGTTGCTCCATGCCGATCAGTTAACTTCTTTTTAGGGGGTTCACCTGAATGTAGTGGCGAACCCAAGATTTTTGTCTAAGGGGGCCTCTGCGGCTCCGTCATTTGTCAAACAACTAGTGAAAACTTAAAAAAAAAATTAATAATCCTTAAGCAAAAGAAATAATACAATATCAATAATCTAAAAGAAAATAATACAATAACACAATACTTTACTACTTGAATAAATCTATGAGAAGCAAAACCTTGAGCAAATTATGTTGAAAATAATATCAAATTAACAAGGAAATATAAGAAAATTTTTACGTGGAAAAACCTCTTCAATTAAAGAGAGCAAAGGACCATAGGAATCTAACGATCCACTTAAATCCAGTATAATTAGAAGAGTTTACAACAATCATAATCTACCAAAAATATTTTACACAAATTTCTTATTTTTTCTCTTTTTTTTTTTCTTTTAATTTTTTTTTTGGCTTTTAAAGATTGTAATATAAATTTTCATGCCTTTGATCAGACATAGCCTAAGTTAAAGTTAACCAAAACTTAAATTAAGTCAACGTTGTCTTGACTTTTAATATGAATTAATAAAAAAAAAGGGACAATTTTCGTAGTATACATAGATAATAACTCAAACTACTTTAATCATTTTGAGCAGCTAAACGGTGACGTTTGAAATGTAAGAAAGTGGTGGATGAAGAGTGAAGAATAACGTTCAGGAAAATATAGTTAATGTTTAATTTGAGAAAATAGGAACATTCTTAGATACAAAACACAAAACAAACTCACAAGATCTATATTTTTTTCCATCAAATTAGAATAAAAAATCTCAAAAAAAATAAGCATGATTCAACTCTAAAATAAACTAAAATGAAATGAGTAATATACATACGTAAAACTGATAAAACAGAAAACGAAGCTAATTGTGACACCTTGATTAGTGAAAGCTTCAACAATTTTAGTCTTCAAAAGTTTTAAGAATGAATAACATAGAAAAAGTGAAAGAGAGAATAAATAATTTTAAGGATAAAATCATAAAAAATCAAGTGGATGTAGAGAAGAGTAGNTACTATTATTCTGTCATTCACCAGCAATTATTTATGTTTTGAAGACGTGAAGTTGCAACATCATCATATTATTGATTGATTGTGATTCATCAACCATAATTGAAGATTCAACACTACTTTAATTACCACTTTGTATATATATGAAGACGACTCATTCTCCACTTTCCTCCGCAAACTTAATATTTATTTTATATTCCACTATTAACTCTTCAAAAGATACAAAATAAAATTCCGTAGCTTTTTTAAGTTAAAAATTTAACTGAAATTTTGTATTACATTTTTATTGTACGCGAACGGAAGTTTGAGTCAATTATTTATTTATTTATTTTGAATCCCCCCACTAATTAGGTGCATTTGAAGATCAAATATATTTACGTAAAACCAAAAACAGAATATCAAACAATAGTTAAAACAGATGATATCTACCCTATTGAAATTCTTTAATTTAAATAGACATTTATTGAGTGACATAAACTTATATGTATATAATGTTTTAATAACCAACCCGGACTGAAACCCGGCAAAGTGGCCAAGTTGCAGGTTGATCGGTTGAACCAGTTTGACCAAGGGGTCGGATTGGTGACGTCAGCATATACAAAGGTTTGAAATCTAGTAAACACATCACTGATAAATTACACATCAATCTCTATAGGTTTGAAATCCAGCAAACACACTCGTGTGATTTGGCCAAATGCAAATTGGCGGTTGGCTGCAACGACACACCAAATACAAATCTCACTTATCTTTTGATCTATCTCATAGCAAATTTGCCCAATTCTTGTCGAAATTGAACCATTTTCCGCAAAAAAACACCATTATGCACGACTGCCAACCTAGGCCAAATAGGCATATTTCCGGGATCAACATCACCCCCATCACCACGAAAGCACTCCCTTTGGCCTCCTGATCAAAACCCATCTCACCCCCTATTCGTCTTGCCAATCATCAACACAGCCCGCTGTTGTGACTGCGCAACTTTTACATTTTTTCAGTCGTTTTTCTCATTGGAAATCACCTCTATCTCTACCTTTTGATTCATCGGCACTTCCTCTCCAAAACTCACAACATCTCCGCCACCGTATGCTTGCCGATCATTGCCCTCCTCACTAGGGTTTGCTTCTTTGGGTTTTAAACAGTGGAAATGCGTGATCGAGCTCGACGAAGGCCTCGATTCCCAGTCCGACCGGTTAAACTGGTCGGGCTGGGTCGGGTTTGAAAACACTACTTGTGCAAAACACATAAGATGCTTACATATTAAACCTAAATGAAAAGAACTATATTTGCAAGTTAAGTACAAATTATTGCCCTTTATCTTTTAACGTTTCCTAATGGAGGAATTTTAAGTCAAGTCTATATTAGTTTCCTAATACACACAGTTTCCCAATGCAAAAGATCGGAATTTTAGTTTTCTAATATGAGAAAGTATAAACCGAACATTTGCACAAGAGAATTTAGAATTTCAGAGTTATGCTTGGCTAGGAATACGTGGGAACTTAAACTTGCCGACAAGTAGTGGAATACATATTTTATTAATGAAACAAGAAGCTTTAATTATTCTTTCCTCCATCAGAATTGTTTGTTTACTAAAAAGATAGAGTGACGACAAGAACCATTAATGTAGACAGAAGGACCCCCTTAGTTACTATGTAACTTATGAAGGCAGACATTATTGGTTTGTAAAGGCTTTGCATTTGCTGCAATCAGAATTTGCCACAAACAAAAAGGAAAAAGCCATCTAAATTCGACGATACGATTCCTTTAATATATAAAACTTGTTTTAATATACAATAAATATTATATGTTTATCTCCACCAAAACTTGTATATAATTGACAAGAACTTTTTAATACACACTGCTTGAAATGCGGAAACAGAATGCTATTCCAAAAGGCACCTTGACTTTTAAGCTATTTTCTTATTTGTGTAATCTCTTTATCTTGCTATATAGAAATTATGTTTCAATCAATTAAGATTTATTATTTGAGGGTACACTTTATCAATTATTCGCCAGCATTTTACACAACATAGGGCCCCCTTAAAAGCCATTTTGACTCAAAATACATTGCAGTGCAGAGACTATATTATATAATAAATTATTTTTATGTGTGCAAGTTTTTCTTCGAAAATAATATAGATTTCTGGGCCATGCAAAGTTTGGCGGTATTTAAAGTGTCGCTATGCATATTCTTTAACTTTTTGATGTTGAATCTTATGGGTGGAAATCCTCGATGACTAGTGTCCACAGGAATGTGATAATACAGTAGGGTTTCCTTAGCTGGATCTCATCATCATTGCTTTCTTATCTCCATCCTATGCTGCGCATGCAACCAAATTAAACTTGAGGGAGCATTCTCACTGTGACTTAATATTAGTTTTAACATATTGCTTTTGCTATCTATTTCTATTCAATTTTTTCAATTCCTCTATTTTCAACTTAGATCATCTCCTCAAACCTAAAAGACTTTGATTTCTCATAAGATGTCAAGAGAGTCTAAAATATTAACACCTGTTGATTCTAGTCAACATCTTTTATATTGATAAGATGGTATATTTGTTCGTCTTTGACCCTTGACTCTTTTTTTTTTTTTTTTTTTTTTTAAATTGTCACTTTTTGAAAAAACATTCATATCTCAATCTTAAAACTTATAGTGTTTGGTGGAACAAAACAAAAAAGTCCCAAGTATTTTTTTTTTTCTTTTCACAAAATAAACAATTTCAGTAAATAAAGTTTTGTGTGAAACACGTCCACTCGGGAGTCGAGGTTTTACCAAAGTAACACAACAAATAACTTTCAATAGAGCGGTAATTTTAGTGGGATCGGATGCTATCAACATTGAACTTAAATAGGATAAATTATTAGTCGTAGAGTTGAACGCCGACGGAAAGCTAGCGTGTTAAAGAGGCGGCGCAAGGTCTAGAGAAAGTTCGTGAACATGCAGTATTTATTGGTCAAGGGATCATTTTCAGAGAGAATTATTCTTTGTAAAAATAAGAGTGCATGAAGAAATTCAAATAATGGTTTTGGGGTTTATATTTCTATAATTTGTATAATCTTAAGATTTAAGGTAGTGAACTGTTGTAATCTTAAAGTGTATACAATCTCCTTTAATAGGGTAAAGAGAACTCAGGGTTGAATTCAACTATATCTCTTCTCAATATAAATATGAGGATATATCGGACCATTTCTGTAAGTTTTTTTCGAAACGAAAGTATAGAAAAGATTCTGAAATTTACCGCATCTGGTTAATTTGTTACTCCACCAATCCACCAATTGGGTAGCTATCTAGTTAATTGATGGATGGTGATGGATACAAACCCCCAGGATAGAGTAGGTTTTGTAGTACCGGCTGAACAGTAGATTTTAATCATCACATTCTGGCCAAGTGTACAATCGCAAAGCTACAAAAAAACAAGTTCTCTTTGGACATGTGTAGATTCCAAACTCATCTCAT